TGACTAGTTACCTCCCAATTTAAATGCAGAATGGGTTTACTAAGAAATATAGTGCCTTTAAACAAAATTTTTTTTGGTCATTTTGTGCTGTGGCTTCCTAGAACAAATAACCATTTTATTTTATTCCTAGAGAAATAATCCATGACACATGAGCTTTTTATCACAAAAAAATTGTCAGCCTTTATCTTTGGAACAAAATAAATGGTCAATTATTGCCTTTTGTCATTTATTGTGAAATATGTTATCTATGTTAAATCATGGGGGCACATCCTACTCTCCAGTCTTCTTGAGATTTAACATGAGTGGTAATTTCTGAGCTGTGTGTATTTCCTCTGTGGGAGATCATTGCATGCTTGCATTTTGATACTGAGAAAAATCCTAGAAGCTTAACCTCAAAAGTTGTAGAGTGCTCAGATAAACATCTGCTGTTTCAATGGTGTTTTCAGCTGCACAGTGACTTGTCTTTATTCTCTTTTTCATGACTGAGTGGGTGGGGAAATGGGAAAGAATTATAAAGAAATGGTCACCTAATCTGTCTCGTCTTTCTGTTGCATTCTCTTCAGAATGGGAGTTCCCACTTTACACGGCCTTCTCCTTCCTCTTGAAATTACTATGATTTCCAAAGGGAGGAGAGTTTGAGAAGTGCTGCAGCCACTCTTAAGCCCTGCACCAATGCAAAGGACCACAGAACAGAAGGCTTTCTCCATTTTTTGCTTGATCACTCTTCAAATGCTTTCCATATTCAAGTTCTTAAAATGTTGCATCAGCTTTTTGTTTGATAATTATCTACTGGAAGCCATGCTTTGGTCTTTTCATAAATAATATAAATTTAATAGATTTTTTTTTTACAAAATTAAACTTATTAGTCATTTAACTGGTCATTCCTGAGTACTTAATATAGAACACATCCCAGAAAAACTGCAATGCACAATACAGCCTGTCATATTATCGGTTATTACGGAAGTTAGGTAGAATAAATACGAATTAAAAGAGATGCATAGAAATAAATTTGGGATCATTTTTCCTATTTCTGTGAAGAATGTCACTAGTTTTGATGGAAATTGCACTGGATCTGTAAACTACTTTGGGTAATATCTAATTCTCCCAATCCATGAACATAGGAAATTTTTCCTTTTGTTTTTTGTGCATGTTCTTCAATATCTTCCATCAGTATTTTGCAGTTTTCATCATAGAAGTCATTACTTTTATGGTCAAGTTTATTCCTAGGCCTTTTTTTTGAGGTGGGGGGTCTCACTATGTTTGTTTCCTAGGGTGGCCTTAAACTCATGGGCTCATATGATCCTTCTGTCTTAGCCTCCTGAGTAGCTGGGACTACAGTCATGTACCACGGTGTCTAATTTATTCCAAGGCATTTTATTTATTTTATTTTTGTTGCTATTGTGAATGGGATGGCTTTCACCATCTCTTTCTTAGTAGGTTCATTATTATTGTATGAGTTACTGATTTCTGTATGCTGATTTTGTATCTTGAAACTTTACTGAATTCATTTTGTCAGTTCTAGCAGTCTTTTGGTGGAGACTTCAGGTTTTTCTACATATACACAGAATCATGTCATCTGCAAACTAGGATAACTTGACTCTTTGTTAGTGACTTTTATTTCTTTCTCTTGATAATATCTCATCCCAGTCAAAATTGCTATTATAAAAAAAATGCTGATGAGGATGTGGAGTAAAGGGAACTTTTGTATAATGCTGGTGGAAATGTAAATTAGTACAGCCATCATGGAGAATGGCTTGAAGGGTCATCAAAAAATGAAAAATATGCCAAGTACCAGTGACTCACACCTGTAATCCTAGCTACTCAGGATGCAAAAATCAGGAGGATCAAGATTCAAAGCCAGCCTGGGCTGGATAAGGTAGTGCACCTGTTACCCCAGCTACACAGGAAGCACAAACAGGAGGATTATAATCCAGGCCTACCTGGGCATAAAGTGAAACTATATCTCAAAAATAAACAAAGCAAAAAGGGCTGGCAAAATGGCTCAGGTGGTCAAGTGCCTGCCTAAAAAGTGTAAGGCCCTGAGTTCAACCCCCCAGTACTGCAAAAACAAACAAGTAAAAACTAAAAATAGATCTGCTATATCATCCACTAATCCCACTTCTGGGTAGATAACCAAAGAAAATGAAATTAGAATACCAAGGCAATATCTGCACACCCATGTTTACTGTGGCACTAAAACCAATAGCTGAGATATAGAATCAATCATACAGCAACAGATGGATAAAGAAAATAGGGTATATATATATATATATATATATGCACAAGGGAATATTATTCTGCCATAAAAAGAATGAAATCTTGTCATTTGTGCTAAAATGGATGAAAGTGGATGTTAAGTGGAATAATCCAGACACAGAAAGACAAGTACTGCCTATTCTCTCTCATACATGGAAGCTGAAAGGGTTGGTTTTGAACTAGAAGACAGTAGAATAGTAACTAGAGGGTAGGAAGTGGATGGGGGAAGGGATAGGGAGGTTGGATAACAGGTATAAAACTCAGAAGGAATAAAAGGAATAAATTCTAGTGTTCTACAGCATGGGGGTGAACTATATTTCACAGTAACATATTATATGTTTTTGTGAATGAGTAGAAGGGGGAGCTTGAAGACTCCAAACATAAAGAAGTGATAAGCAAAGAGAAATGCTAATTATCCTGACATGATCAACACACATTGTATACAGGTATTGAAATACCCACATATATAACTGTGATGTATTACTTACACAGAGAGAGAGAGAGAGAGAGAGAGAGAGAGAGACACATGCAGAAGGCAGTGATCACTGTGGTCAGGAAAGGCTGGCGGATGAGAACAGGCCATTGTGTAGAAAAGTAGAGGAAAACCACTCTTGGTGGTTTCCAGGCCTGGAGGCTGGAAATAGAAAGAATCCAATGGGAATGGAAGGTGGTAGGGAAGGGAAAATCAGAGCCTGAGGCGTTTGGACCAACTAAACCAAATTTCTAAATCCAGTGGTTCATTCTTGATAAGCATACTCCAACTGGAACACTCCTTTCTGCCCTGGGAAAGGCTGGGTGATGACCCCCCAGGTTCCTTTCTGTGTATAGGTGAGGGTTGGTGTTCACTGGTACTTGGGAAGGCAAAATAACCTGCCTGGGGAGCACCCATGACTGTGGATCACCTTCCCTGCCCCAACTCTTGGGCGAGACATTCCCAAGGCCTATAGGTCAGGCCCAGACTTGGCCTGGGGAGAAAGGCAACATAAGTTGCATTGATCAAAATCTGTCACATGACTGGCTACCTGTCATAGCAAAAAGTGGGTGATTGATTGGGTATATTGCTACCCTGAACTAACCAGGGGTCAACTAGAGAGAAAAAGGCATAGAACTGGACTCTGTAACAAAAATGGTTGCCATAGGCTGGGAGTGTATGCAAAGGGTATGCATGCCAGTCAAAGCCATGGGAGGATACCTCGTTTTCCACCAAGATAGTTTCTTCCCCACAGTGTAGCTGAGTTCTGACTTCCACACCTCCCCTAAGGAAGAATATGCAATGAGAAAACCAATATTGCCACACATTCTTATTGAGGTGAGTTAGACCCATAAAGCACCTGCAGTTCTGTGTCTAGGTGGGAAAGGCAGAAAAGTAGGACAAGAGGGTTAAGAACTGTACTTGACAGCCAGCCTTCTGGGCTTGAATACAGACTCCACAGCTTCTGGGGTGTATGACTTCAGGAAAATTACTTGCTTCCCTGTGCCTCAGTTTCCACATCTATAAAATACTGAGAATAATCATAGTACTTATCTCAGAGAGACAGTGAGACTGCTTTCTGGCTAATAGAGATATAAACACAGTCACATTAAAGCACCCAGAAGCTACAATGTAGTCAGTGTTTTAAAAGACAGAAAATGGGGTGTCAAATTTTCTACCTATTTCACCTGGTGGTTATGCATAGTACATTGCTTACTTTACATAAAGTGTCTAGAATTGTGAGGGGTATGTAGGAAGTGCTTAATAAATATTATGCATTTTCCTATTTTAAGTTCTGAGTTTTCTACCTTATGTTACACAATGCTATGCAAAGTCTCCAGAGATGCTAAGGAATCTTTGAGGCCAATTCTTTGTGTGTGTGTGTGTGTGTGTGTGTGTGTGTGTGGCAGGGGGTGGGGGTACTGGGACTTGAACTCAGGGCCTACACCTTGAGCCATTCCACCAGCCCTTTTTTGTGATGGGTGTTTTCAAGATAGGGTCTCGAGAACTATTTGCCTGTGCTGGCTTTGAGCCAGCTGCGATCCTCCTGATCTCTGCTTCCTGAGTAGCTAGGATTACAGGTGTGAGCCGCCAGCACCCAGCTTTAAGGCCAGTTTTAATAAGCACCACTGCAGCATTCTTGTGCTTACAGTTGAAAACTTTTTTTCAGACTCCTACACAGAATCTTTCTCAGGTGCATTTGAATGAGGTGGACAATCTGCCACGGGTCACAAAAGACATTGCAAAGATTTCACAATGAAGTACGGTTAACCGAGGCTGCAACTGCTAAAGGAAAACCCCAGCAAGCAGAAAACGTGTCCTGCACATCACTAACCTTCATGCTCCCCCTCCCTCTGCCTACCCCATTCATTACAACACCAACGTCTGGCTATTATGTCAGCATTTCCAATAACGTGAAAAAGGAAAACACAGATCTAGACTTTCATGGAAAGTATTCTAACTGTCACAACCAGAATCCCTGCCTTTAAAAAAAATTACATTTTTTAGATCTTTAACTTTTCCTTCAGCATTTCAAAACCCAACCTTTTGAAAAGCATCTTTTCTGAGGAATGATATTTCCTGGCACAACACAGTCTTTGTCAAGTGACTCAGTATGATTTGATTTTTTTCAATATCAAGTGGCCCCAACTTACAGAGAAAAAGTGGGCTCCAAGTATCAGTTTGATGTCAGGGTTTTTCCCTGTGTAAAAGGAGCTTTAAATACAGCCAGACTGGAAGGTATCTGCAGGCTGAGCTCCAGGTCCTTGTCAAGATGCTTCTGGCTGTGGTCCTCACCTCTGCCCTTCTCTTCTGCTCTGTGGAGGGCCAAAGATGCTTGACTTGGGCAGGAATCATGGATTTGAACTTCCTCATCCAGATGTTGCAGGTGCGCTGTGGGGCTGCAGGGAGCACTCATGACTGGTGAGCTAGCTCTAGAAAGAGAAAATGTGCCACTCACGTGGGTTTTCATTTCTCTGTCTACTTTAGGAAGATCCATCCTCCAAGTGCAGCTGCAGTGCCAATGTAAGTGAAAGCTCTCTTAAGAAAGTTCCAAACCAATCTTAATTCTCACATCTGGAAGGTTCACTCTGAAATTTCTCTTTTCTAGGTGACCAGTTGTTTGTGTCTTCCCATCCCTTCTGTAAGTACAGGAGAAGATAATCTTGATTCTATTTTTTTTTTTAGCTTTTAAGTAAAAGTAAATTGCTTTATTTCATATTTTAAATTAGAAATTGTTACTTAATTGAGATCATTACAGATTAGTATTCCCTTTTGAAACCAGGATCTTGGAATTCTATACTGTATACATTTCTTTGTATTGAACTAGCTTATGGTCCTTGAGAAGTTTGAACACTTTCAGTATTTAAAAAAATATTGACTATCTTTTAAGGTACATGGCCATATACACAATGAAGTCAAACTGGAACTAAGAATATAATAAATATATAAAGAGTATAATAAGTGATATAGTTTGAACTGTATTGCTTTCTATCCCATTTGCTGTTAAGTCTAGAACTGTGAAGCAATGTAAATAGAATGACAACTCTTATCTTGGATGTGGCTTAAACTATCTAGCTGCTACATCTCCTTCCTTCTTCCTTCCTTCCTTCCTTTCTTCCTTCCTTCCTTCTCTTTCTCTCCCCTCCCTCTCTTCCATCCTCCCTTTCTCTCACCTCCCTCCCTCTCTTCCTTCTTCCCTTCCTCCTCTTCATCAATCCTTGGCTGACCTCAGGTGGCTGCCCCATGATTCCAACTATAGGACAAAGTGTCTGGAGGTTGTGGGTGGTGGGGACTGAAAGGCACGCTGAGAGAGAAACTCCCTACTCTGGCAAGGAGGGAGGGGTCAGGAATGTTCCAGTCCTAATTGAGACTCCTGGTTAGAGTGAGGGGGCACTTACTCAAGTGATTACTGCCTGGGGGAATCTGAGCTTTGCATCCTAGCAGAGATCAGAGGTCATACCCTTGAGGGTCCATGGTTAGATGAGAAGTGGTAAGGGGGAACCCTTCATGAATAGCCCAGCTCCCCTTCTTTTACAGGGCAAGGTCTTAGCTCTACTGGAACACAGGCCATGTCCAATGGGCACATCCTATCGGCTAGTGCCCACAAGTTTTTTCTTCCTCTGCACTTCCATCTCACTAATACTAGATATGGAATTGTCCATTTGCCAGGGCCATGGGAGCCATGCTTCCTGGATAGAACATGGTGGGAATCTCCAGGGAATGTCACTATGGAAAAAGTACCTCACCTGGAAGTATTGGAGATCAGGGCCTAGACTGGCAAGGGACCTATCAAAAATATAGTGCAAGTTTGGGTTAGATTGGTTCAATTACATTTGTCTCTAAAATCCTTCTTTTTGCGATTTCTTCTCAAATCTGTCCGGAGTATTTCTTTTCATAAGTTCTTATTATTTCCCAGGATAACTGCGCTACACCGTGCTTCCAGGAAGGGTTGTCACAGATTACCAACGCCACCCAGAAAACAAAATTCTCACTGGCTTTCATGCGGGTGAAAAGAACAGTTGAAGACCTAAAAAGCAACAAGTGTCCAGTACGTTTGTGTGATTTTTATGTGGATGCTGATGTCAGCTATGATTGAAGGAGAAAGGATGATAACATCAGAATTGGTAGTTCAAGGGTGACAAGGGGACATCAAAGAAATTGAATCAGAAACGTTAGACTAGACTGCCCCCTAGTTTTTTTTTAAATGCTGACGCCAATATGGTCTTTTCTCTGCTTGTTGGATAATGAAAGAATTCTTCCTGATTGTAACTAGAAGCTATAATTGTGGGAATCAGGGCTGTAGCTCACGCAGTACTCAAAGATCCTAAAAGTTCAATTTGCTAACCAGATGGATGTGGCAGCCTATAAGTTAAAGGAGATTATTTTTTTGAAAATGCACCCAGATCAAGGTAGACACTTGCCACCTGTCCTAAGTGCCCGCTGGTGGCGTACGCCTTAGCTCTTGGAGGTGGGGGTTGGGCTTCCTCCTTGCCTCCCTGGGCAGCAGCTTCTGCAGGAGAGCACAGAGGACTGAAGACCTGTGCTGAGCCATTTACTTGCTTGTGTCTCTACTGTCGATAGCACCTTCCATGTCCTGTTTCACTGAGTTCCTCCCTAGGGATAATTGTTAGATTTGACTTATCCCCTTCATATTGGAGAGGAGGGAAGTGAAGCTCAGGGGGACTAACTAATTTACCTGATGCTATACATTTAGTAAGTGACAGAGCTGAACTTGAACTTGGATCTATGTGAACCCAAATTCTTAGCCATCATAGTATATAAGTGACCTTGAAAAAACAAGCTAAAAGGACAATGATACATTTTAGACTTCAAAGAGTCCCGAGAAAAGGTTTCCTCTAATGGGGGGACTTGATAGGTGTCTAAGTGTATGTGTGACACAGACCCCAAAGTCAGCCACCTACACCAAGTTACCAAGTGCCAGCTAGCTGGGATCTCCCACTGATTAGTTCTGGGCTTCAAGCCAGGATCCCGAAGTGTGGTCCTTGGGGCAGATTGGCTCCATGCTGCTTCAGTCACTCTGTCCTGTCAACTTTTATCTCTGCAGTTTTTCTCCTGTGAACAGCCATGCAACCAAACCACAGCAGGAAACACGGTGACATTTCTGAAGAAGCTGAGGGAAACTTTCCAGAAAAAAAAGACAGGAGGGATGTGAGCCTGAATATGAAGATGAAATATTATTTATTCTATTTATTGAATCTTTTAAAAGCCTTCTCTTTAAATTGTTATAATTTAAGAAATGAAGTAAGCTATTCTAAGTCAAAATCAGTGTGATTATTTGTTTAAAATTTTATGTCTTTATTTTGGAATAAATATATGTGAAGGAAAGAAATGCACAAACTGGTCCCTGGGTACTTCTTCATTGCTTCTTCATTCCTTGCTTCTCAGAACAAAGCAAGCAGTGAGCTTTGTAAAGGATCAAAGACTCTAAGATAACAAGACTCAATGATCCTAACCAAAGCAGGGACTTGGGATTAGAGGTTGGAGAACAGTTAGGAAGGACTCATCTGGAGACAGCCTAAGGGTCACTACTAGGAGGACAGGGGCAGCTGGAGGGAGGCTCAACATGCTACAAAGGGGTTTTGTTCCTACAAAACCGACCTTGGACCTGAAACCACAAAGGCAGGCATTTGTTAAGGCCAAGGGCTGGGAGACTCCTGAAGAAAATGTCATGGTCATATGTAAGAGCACAGAGATGGCAGCTGAGAAGTGTCCTGGAGCAGGCTCTTTGAGTCAGAGCTTGAAGCAGAGAAATCCTGGGGTCAACCTGGCTGTTCACCCAATGCCCTTCAGTGAGCTCTTACCATATGTCAGCACAGGTCTGACTGGGAGACAGGATCTAATGGGGCAAATCCAAGAGACCTTTCAATTTCACCTTCAAACTCTATCTGCTCCCACCTCGGACCCCTCTCCTGTCCTTTGTTCTACAGTGCTCACCACCTTCTGATGCTCTCTTATCTGTTAACTGGTCATGTTTACTGTCTGTCTCTCTGCTCACCATGCCAGCTTGGTTTTGCTCACTCATGTGTTCTAAGTGCCTACGTTGAGCTAGCATTGAGCAAGTGCTGAGTGAACACGGTCCACATGGATGAAAGGCCTTCGAGATGTAACAGCATAGTGGGGACTGGTGTCTGAATTGGGAATGTGCAAGCCTGGACAAGAGTTAAAACCCAGAACATACTATAGGTGCCCTTTCAATTCCTCAAAGCAGGTCTGGGTCAGGGTAGACACCACCTGGCACCTTGGAGGGGGAAGATTGACATCTTCCTGTTTGGCACCCCCAGCCCTGTGATGGGTGGATGGAGGCAGGGCTAAGGCTAGGGTAAGAGAGGTCTGGTAGTCAGACTGGCCCTCACCTCTACCCGCTGAGACTTAGAGGTGTGGGAAAAACTCAAAGGCTTTTTTTTGTTTTCATTTCACTTTTGCAGTACTGGGAATGGAACCCAGAGATTCATTTTTTTTTTTTTTTCATTTTCTTTATTATTATTCATATGTGCATACAAGCTTGGGTCATTTCTCCCCCTGCCCCACCCCTCCCTTACCACCCACTCCGCCCCCTCCCGCTCCCCTCAATACCCAGCAGAAACTATTTTGCCCTTATCTCTAATTTTTGTTGTAGAGAGAGTATAAGCAATAATAGGAAGGAACAAGGGGTTTTGCTGGTTGAGATAAGGATAGCTATACAGGGCATTGACTCACATTGATTTCCTGTGTGTGGGTGTTACCTTCTAGGTTAATTCTTTTTGATCTAACCTTTTCTCTAGTTCCTGGTCCCCTTTTCCTATTGGCCTCAGTTGCTTTAAGGTATCTGCTTTAGTTTCTCTGCGTTAAGGGCAACAAATGCTAGCTAGTTTTTTAGGTGTCTTACCTATCCTCACCCTCCTTGTGTGCTCTGCTTTTATCATGTGCTCAAAGTCCAATCCCCTTGTTGTGTTTGCCCTTGATCTAATGTCCACATATGAGGGAGAACATACGATTTTGGTCTTTTGGGCCAGGCTAACCTCACTCAGAATGATGTTCTCAATTCCATCCATTTACAGCGAATGATAACATTTCGTTCTTCTTCATGGCTGCATAAAATTCCATTGTGTATAGATACCATATTTCTTAATCCATTCGTCAGTGGTGGGGCATCTTGGCTGTTTCCATAACTTGGCTATTGTGAATAGTGCCGCAATAAACATGGTGTGCAGGTGCCTCTGGAGTAGCAGTCTTTTGGGTATATCCCAAGAGTGGTATTGCTGGATCAAATGGTAGATCGATGTCCATCTTTTAAGTAGCCTCCAAATTTTTTCCAGAGTGGTTGTACTAGTTACATTCCCACCAACAGTGTAAGAGGTTCCTTTTTCCCCGCATCCTCGCCAACACCTGTTGTTGGTGGTGTTGCTGATGAGGCTATTCTAACAGGGGTGAGGTGGATCTTTAGTGTGGTTTTAATTTGCATTTCCTTTATTGCTAGAGATGGTGAGCATTTTTTTCATGTGTTTTCTGGCCATTTGAATTTCTTCTTTTGAGAAAGTTCTGTTTAGTTCACTGCCCATTTCTTTATTGGTTCATTAGTTTTGGGAGAATTTAGTTTTTTAAGTTCCCTGTATATTCTGGTTATCAGTCCTTTGTCTGATGTATAATGGCAAATATTTTCTCCCACTCTGTGGGTGTTCTCTTTCAGTTTAGAGACATTTCTTTTTGATGAACAGAAGCTTTTTAGTTTTTTTGAGGTCCCATTATCTATGCTATCTCTTAGTTGCTGTGTGCTGCTGGGGTTTATTGAGAAAGTTCTTACCTATACCTACTAACTCCAGAGTATTTCCTACTCTTTCTTGTATCAACTTTAGAGTTTGGGGTCTGATTATTAAGATCTTGATCCATTTTGAGTTATCTTGGTATAGGGGATATACATGGATCTAGTTTCAGTTTTTTGCAGACTGCTAACCAGTTTTCCCAGCAGTTTTTTGTTGAAGAGGCTGCTATTTCTCCATCGTATATTTTTTAGCTCCTTTGTCAAAGATAAGTTGCTTAGTAGTGTGGCTTCATATCTGGTCCTCTATCTGTTCCACTGGTCTTCATGTCTGTTTTTGTGCCAGTACCATGCTGTTTTTATTGTTATTGCTTTGTAATATAGTTTGAAGTCAGGTATTGTGATACCTCCTGCATTGTTCTTTTGACTGAGTATTGCCTTGGCTATTCGTGGCCTCTTGTGTTTCCATATAAATTTCACAGTAGATTTTTCAATCTCTTTAATGAATGTCATTGGAATTTTGATGGGAATTGCATTAAACATGTAGATTACTTTGGGGAGTATCGACATTTTTACTATGTTGATTCTACCAATCCATGAGCATGGGAGAT